ATAAAAGGGTACGGTCTTTTTTTTTTTTTTTTTTTTTAGTTTTATTCATTTCAAACGGGCCGGATTCGGCCCGCGGGCCGTAGTTTGCCCACGGCTGTACTAGAAGGACATTTGCAGAAATAAAGTTTTATTAGATCAAAAGCATCAGGTTACATGAACAGTATAACATAATTACTAATATTCATTTCAGTTGGATCACAGTGAAAATACCTCTAAAATACATTATAAAGAGGTTTTAATTTTAATATTTTAAAACAGCTTACTTTAGATTATTGTAATTAATATATATTATATTGGTATAGTACACCACTTCGCTATCTTTTATTTTCCATCTAGGTGAAAAACCATACATATGTGGTATTTGTGGGAAAAGTTTTATTTCCTCAGGAGAGCTCAACAAACACTTTCGATCCCATACAGGTCTGTGTTTAGGGAGAATGTATTATTTTTTGTTCTCTCTAATTTCTTTTTATGTAAACCTTGACTTTTAAGCCATTGTGGACTATATAATACATAGTTGTACTTTTCAGTAATATTTTAATGCATAAATATCACCTTTTCATTGGCTTACTTTTTTAGTTGTTTGGAGTGTGAAATAAATTTGGTTGAGAATTGTGTAGATTTTCTAAGAGGTATGCCAGATAATAGTTTTTTAAGTGATTTGGATTTAATTGCACAGATATACCAATAAATGAAAAGGAATCAGTAATAGATAACATTTTCTTGTTAAACATTGTTCAGCAAGTTTTAGGAATAAATTTTAATATTGGAATGTTTATTGTAAAAGGTAGTAAGTTGTTATTGTAAGTTGTATGAAGAAAATATTAAATGTAAAAAAAGTATTAAGGGAAAAGGCCACTTTGAAAATGTGCTGTTCTGACTTTTTCTTTTTAAAAATTACCCCTCATAATTTCTGTTTAGAATAGTGTGAACACTTAGGAAACATTTAATAAATTTGTTGTCAACTTAAAGCATCAGACAGTTCTTATTCCAAGAGAATTACAATTTTATAGCATTTTATTCTGTCAGGTTTTTTAAAGGATTTTCTAATTTATAAAGGATTTTCTAATTTGAGAACAGAAACAATAATTATGCTCCCCCCTCCCCCACTCTATCTCTTAGCCAAGGTCTGGTATTTAATTGCACTCACTAAATGTCTGATAGAAATAAAAGAGTAAGTTTTTTGTTTTTGTTTTAGTTTAAAATTTCTGTTAATGAAAATGCTCAGTTTTCCCTAAAATGGGGAAAACTTTACATAAAGTAAAGGCATGCCTATGTGTATAGAAGTTTTTATTTCACTATATTAGAACCAGGTGATTAAAATGGTAATTTGAAACTAAATTTAAACAGTGTAGTAATGTTTGCCTTGTTTTCATGAGCATTAATATTTTTGTCTTAACTTAGCTTCTAAAATATTGAGGTTTTAAGCTTTTAACTTATTTTTCAGGAGAAAGACCGTTTATCTGCGAATTATGTGGAAATTCTTACACGGATATTAAAAATTTAAAGAAGCACAAAACAAAAGTTCATTCTGGTAAAGGCTCATGTTTTAAAAATTTGGTGCTTTCTCATATTGATTATAACAATTTAGATTTTTTAAAACTAGACACATATGAGGAAAGTAGCTTTATAATTTGTACATAAGTTCACTCTGAATTTCTTTTCATATTGATCTTGTAATAAATATTTAACTATGTTCTCCATTCAAAAATCTGATTTATGAACAGTTTCAAAAAGAAGGCATATATAAGTAAATGATGTATCACTATTCCGTTTACTAGAGTCTGGGTTGGCTAGAGTTTACTGTAGTTATATGAAGAGAGGGCCATCATGAACACAAATCCAGATATATATATGTATATGGAAATAAGGAAATGGAAAGCCCCAGACTACTATAATATATAAAAATAAGAGAGCCAGAGTGCAACATTTTAAACATATTGCTTAAAATGAATTCCTTGAAAAAGTTTCACTGTGCTTACCATTTTCTTCTGTTGTGATTAGAAACAAAACAAAACACCAGGCTTCTTCGGTGTATAGAAATGCTAGTGAGTCTTTGATAGGAAACATAAACATAAGGATTTAATTAGTAACATCTGAAGACTGCATTGAGCCATTAATTCCACAAAAATTTATTAAGTACTTCTAACGTACACATAACTTCAGGATATATGAAGTTGAACAAGGTGTAGTCTAATCTTCAAAGAACTTGCAACCTGGTATGGGAGACCAGAAATCTAAATAAATATGATTACAAGACAATATGTAGGCTATAATAGAGACACTAAGTGCTGAAGAAGAGATTAATTAATTCTGAGGTATTGGAAAGACCTAATCCTGGGGAACCTGGAGGACAGAGAAGAGTTAAGAGGATGGAAATGGGAAAGGAAGCGTTCATTCCAGGCAACATTGTGGAGAGAAACACTGGGACAGGAAAGTGGAAGCTATATTCTTGGTTGAACTGAAGAGTAGTCTGTAAGAACTGAGTTATTGAGTTACATTTTTATACAAGCAAATGCACAGTTTTGTCTAATAATAATAGTGAGATTGTAATCATGTCAATATTATGTGTATAGCTCTATTAGGTACTTTAGTTGAGGATTCAAAGCATACCTAAGTTGAGTGTTAAATAGTGATAAGAGAAACTGGAGGCCTGGGCCCTCAGCCTGGCCTGCGCCCTTGTCCTTTAGCAGTCCGGAGCCCTTGGGGGATGTCCAACTGGGGGATGTTCAGCTTGTGGCTGAGCGGCACTCCCCCTGTGGGATCGCACTGACCACCAGGGGGAAGCTCCTGCGTTGAGCTTCTGCCCCGCCCCCTTGTTCTGCCGTTCATTCAATTTGCATATTACCCTTTTATTATAAAGGATAGCATGTCACAAGGCATTACATGAAACACAAATGAGTGGTAAAATAGATTAGAAGCAACTCATCTAGGACTAGAATAATTAAGTCCATTTTTATTAATTTTTTAAAAAAATGTATTTCTTTATTGATTTTAGAGAGGAAGGGATAGAAACATCAACGATGAGAATCATTGATCGGCTGCCTCCTGCATGCCCCCTACTGGGGATCAAGCCCACAACCCCGGCATGTGCCCTTGCCGGAATAGAACCCGGACCTTTCACTCCGCAGGCCTATGCTCTATCCACTGAGCCAAACCGGCTAGGGCAATTAAGTTCATTTTTATTGTGGAGTTGTTTGAACCTAGTCTCAAAGCCCATGTTGTATAGATAACGAGGGCTATTCAACAAAAGAGAAGTAGCCTGAGTAAAGGTGTGGTGGTTGGAAGTTCTGGGAATGGTAAGGGTTTTGTTTTGTCTTTAAAGATAGTATAATTTTTTTCCTCTTCCATTTCAGGGGCAGATAAAATTCTAGATACTAGTATAGAGGATCATCCCTTAAGTGAACAAGATTCCATACAAAAAAGCCCTTTATCAGAAACTTTGGATGTGAAACCTTCTGATATGACTTTGCCACTAGCCCTTCCACTTGGGACTGAGGACCATCACATGCTTCTGCCTGTCACAGATAATCAGTCTCTGACATCAGACACATTGTTGAGGTCAACTGTGAATGGGTATTCAGAACCACAATTGATTTTTTTACAACAGTTATACTGACTTTGTGAGGATTATGGAATTGCTAAAACATCTCTGGTAGTAAACATAAACATCTCTGGTAAGGTGCGTATATTCATCTTAAATTATCATTTATTTGAGTTGTGGCCATTATTCATTCACTGAAGTAAAGGCACCTGTTGCTATATCTCATAACTGCAATGCTTGTTTTGAGTTTTGGCTTTTATGTCAGTAGCACTATTTTGGGTGGTTAAGTTTCCTTATCTTTTAGAGCTGCCTAAATTCCATTTTTATTTTGCATTTTAGACTTGCCTTTCATTTATTGAAGTGGAATCTGTCAGTTTATATGATTCAGTTTTGACCTGTGGGACTTAAAATTTTTCTTCCCCTCAAAATTAAAGTAAAATCCATGATGGTATCAGCACAAGAGTATTGCTGTTACTAAGCTCCATAGGCCAATACATAAACTATGAGGGAAAAAATAAAATTTCATATTTCTGCCTAAGAAAATTTAGATACTGAATAAGAATTGTGCTATATCTCTATTAATATATTCCATTGGAGATAACTTTTTTAATGAAACGAAAAATATTTCTCTTAAAAGCTGGAAAAACTGTATATAAATTCTTGTTTATTTTAGAACTCAGTATTCTGGAGAAAACCAATGGTCAGTACCTTTGATTTGAGTTAACTGACATTATATTTTCAAAATAAATTTAAATAGCTATTTGGTATTTTTACTTTGTTACAAGACAGTTTCAAAATTTTATTCAGGTTATGTTTTAATAGGTTTCTAGATTATTGAAGATGAGGAAAATATACTGAGTTTTTAAATTTTTGAATAAGTTTCTCTTATACCTGTTGTGCACTTTTAAAATAGAAAATTCTAAAGAGAATTTTCTAAATATAAACTTAATGCATACTATAAATCACTTGGTTTCTGAATTTGATACATTATATTACATAGATTTAAGAAATTTAACTTCAGTTATAAGTACTAGTAAACACTTGAATTATCAGAAAGCCAGTTTATTAAACATTTTATATTTGAGTGTTCTATAAGTTTTGAGTTTGAAAATTTTATAAGAAACCACAACATTTGGTGGTGGTTTGTAGCTTCACAGTCACCCTTTTCCTTCCTAATGAATATAAAAAATCAGTATTATTCTGATATCTGCTACCACTCTTCCCCATTCTACTTTTCCCACACACTAGTATTGATTTATTTTACTGCCTGATCTTTGAACATTATCAGTTTCAGAGTCAGTTCCTGTACCGCTCATCGAACACACCTTGGTGACATTATATTTTATTTCTGCCATACATTAGTTGTGGCTTGTTTTGGTTTTAAACTACATCTATAATAAAGTTATGTTTTCTATTGGTATTGATTTCTTTGATTGTATTTTCTCTGGGGTCTTGGCCATAGGAACCAACTCGAGTACATAATAAAACTACTTAATTCTTGTGAACTGTAAAAATCGTCACCATTTCACGCACACTCAGCATTTTTACAGTAAATTACCACCAATAAGATTGACTTAATTGAATTGAGTTTGAAATATGCCTTATATTTCCATCAAACATAGTATTTAATTATTTAAGAAATCTAGCTATGCATGTGTATTGACTTAATATACTGGGCTTAAATACAATTTATAGAGTTATAAAATGTTCAACTAATCTATTCTGGCTTAAATTCAATAGGAATTTATTGGAATGTGAAGATTTTAAAGAAAATTAAAAGACTCAGCCTCTTTAAGAAGTCTGCTGAAATGGAGAGGTTATATTTAATTCATCTCTTCATTAATTCAAGCATCTAATGAACAAAGTTTCTTTTTAAAAACACTACAATGATGTCATAATTCTAGGAGGGCAGTAGTTACCAAATTTCCTCTAATGTGATCATTAGCACTTTGCCTTTGCATAGATTAGCCTTCAGATTTATTATTTTTAGTATTACTGGATTGGAATTGTTATAGTTGATTTACTGTGCTTTTTTTAAATCACATTATCTGCTTTTTTAAATAATTTTATTTTAAATTGGATTGGCTTGATGCTCTTCCAGAATGACAGGTAAAGAAAGATTGAAAACTGAATTTCCTGTCTTGTCATTCTTCTCATAATGCCATCCTATTCTTTATCATAATATACATATATTTTAGTTGTATTTGCTATCATTCTGATAATCAAATGTGTCGTTTTAGTTAAGTTCATCTTTAAATATGTCTACATAATGCATTGTTTTGAGAAAAATCTGTTCTTATTTATTATTACTAAGTTTTTTAAAAAGTGTTTAGGATGCTGAAGATCTTACTGGGAAACATTTTTTAAGTTTTGTTTTGTTTGTATGAGACTTTTCCTACTGTATTGTTAGAGGTTAGACTTTTTAAAAAGAAACCATAGATTATATATAAAGGACTTTTTGCTGTTTTTAAATGATACTTGTTTTATGTTTAATTTCATAGGAGGATTTTGATAGACAAATTATAGAAAATTGTTTTATTTTTTTTCAAAAAGGGTTCTATCAGTTCTAATGCAATGATAGTTTACCACTTTTCTATATGTTTTAATTCTACAGAAATTGTGCAAATGAGTAGTTGAAATGTGCCCATATAAAGACAGTATACATGTATTCATGTTTTTAAATATCCAAAAATAATAGCTCTAACATTTGATACATACAATAAACATTTATAGAATAATGATAGCCAAGTCCCATCGCACCCCACCTTACTCCTACTGAATCAAACAATCTTTGGAACATATCTGTGCTGGCAAAGCCTCACAGTTTATCTTAATCTATACTACACATTGAGAACTATTATCCTAAATATTTTTAATGTCCATCCTTTTGGAAGCATTTATTAATGAAGCTCTTCATATAACTTTCCATCTTTTACTCAGAGATTTTGAGTCTAGAACTTAGCTAGAAATACCACCAAGTAAAAAGAAATTATATTTTAATGCAATACCTGTAAATTCTACATTTTTACTCATTTATGAACTATATTGACATTTACTTATTGTAGTATTAATTTCTTTTTTAAAAATATTTTTATATATTTCAGAGAGGAAGGGAGGAGAGAGAGAGAGAAACATCAGTGATGAGAATCATCAATCGATTGCCCCCTGCACACTCCCCTCACCCCCCACCGAGGATTGAACCCAAAGCCTGGACATGTGGCCCGACTGGGAATCAAACTGTGACCATAGGTTGATGCTCAACCATTGAGCCACACTGGCCGGGTGGAGCATTAATTTCTTGAGACAATAATATGGTTTACTCTTCTGTCGCTGCAGTCCCTGCCCCCTTTCATTCAGGAGAGATTTGGTATATTTAAGGAATTAAATAATTATATAAATTATCATACAGAAATGGGGATATTCAATTTCAAGAAGAATGGACTAAAACACCATGGTTGTGAACAGATATTTGGATTAAAATATTTGGCTAGTATTTCAAATGCTGGAAAATGAATGAAATTGTTACCAGTGGGGAGAGTTCCTCATCCCCACCTGTTGCTCATGGGAATGGAATTCTTGTGATATCCTGAGAAAAAGAATTTTCTGAGACTCACATGGGAGGATGAAATATTGTAGAAAGCTTTATTTCTGTGGAATTACACCCCTGAGTTTCTAAGGTCCCATTTCCCTATGTCCCTCCAAGGAAGAAGTATAGCTGTGGCTTCAGTAGGGCTAACATAAAAGCCAGTATCCAGAGTCTCTGTTCCATATTAGGGCATCGTCCAATCTTGCATCAGACTAGTTTAGTTTGTATTCCCAGCTGCAGTCTATCAGTCTATTTTATGTGGGGTCAGCATGGCCATGGGCCATGTGTCTACGGAGGGAATACAGGCAGGTGCAAAACCAAAGGAACCAGAGAGCCAAGAGCCACAAGTCAAGAGAGTCACAGGAGTGAACTCCTTTGGGGGTTTATGTATCCCCCAAATTTCCATGGGTGCAGTTGGCTCCACCACTTATAGCCAGTGATTTCTGTTCCTAGATTTGATTGACAAGTATCTTCCCTTGGTCACCCCAACTTCACTGCATATGTGTCCATCCTCCCTTTTGTCTATTCCCTTCCCCCAGTAACATGCAGGGGATGGGCCTGTGGTTCCCTGTGGAGTGTGAAATTGTAGTTTCCTGGTGAAGCTACCCAGGTGACATGCCTATAATATCTGACCTCCCTTTTGTTCTTTTTCTATTAATTAGCTAATTACAATGATATCAAAATCATAAAGCTACAAAGATAAATAAGATAAATTCCACCCTTAAGTTTACAGTCAAATGGGAAAGACAAGCCTGAATATAACTAGCAATAAAATAAGTCAGAATGTGGGGTACTGCAGGGGAGGAAGGCAAGAAAGGAAATGTTGAGCAGTCAGGGAGTTGAATGGACAAAAAAAGGGCTGTTGCTCCCCTAGTTCTGAAAACAAGAGATGGATGATGGGAGCCCTTTGCACACAGCTGACTGAGATAGGCAGAATGGAGAGAAAGTATGAAATGGGAATGAGAAGTTCCACATGTCCAGCTCTATACCTATACCATCTTTTTTTTTGTTATACCATATTTTTTGTTGTTAATCCTCATCCTAGGATATTTTTTTCCTTTGATATTCAGAGACAATGGAAGGGAGGGGGATAGACAGAAACATTGATTGGTTGCCTCCCACCTGCACTCCAACTGAGGCCCAGGATCCAGTCTGCAACCAAAGTCCATGCCCTTAACTGGAATCAAACCCAAGACCCTTCAGTCTGCAGACCAGTCCTCTAACCACTGAGCGAAACCGGGTAGGCTTAGCTGTACCTATACCATTTTACTTGCAAAGTTCTCTACCCTTAGCCTATGCAGAAGGAATGGGATTGGGTAGCCTGGTTCATAACCCACGTTCTCACGAAAACCGCAGTTGACTGCTGAAGGGCAGGGGCTAGACAGCCACATTTGTAACACATGATTCCATACCAAGACTACAGCTGCCTGAATACCTTACCAGTGGGAAACAGTTCTTAGGCCAGACTGAGCTAGTTAGGTTCTTTTTAAAAATATATGTTTTTATTGATTTTAGAGGGAGAAGGGAGAGGGATAGACAGAAATATTGATGAGAAAGACACATTGGTTGGCTGCCTCCTGTGTGTTCTTCCGCCCTCTCCCCCCACACAGCGAGGATCAAGCCTACAACCCAGGCATGTTCCCTGACTGGGAATCAAACTGGAGGACCTCTTGGTTCGTGGGTCAGTGCTCAACCACTGAGTCACACCAGCCGGGCTACTTAGGTTCAATATATTTTTATTGATTTCAGAGAGGAAGGGCAAGGGAGAGAGAGGTAGAAATGATGATGATGATGTCTCAGTGATGAGACAGAATCATTGATTGGCTGCCTCCTGCACGTCCCCTACTGGGGATCGAGCCCTAAACCCAGGCATATGTGCTGACCGGGGATTGAACTGTGACCTGGTTCACAGGCCAATGCTCAACCATTGGCTGGGCAGGCTAGTTAGGTTCTTTCTCATAAATTTGAACTATGAAATTCTGAGACCATTACGTATACATATAAATAAAAGATCATTTATAACTGGCCCATGGTGAAGCAAGCCAAAAGAAACTGAAGAAGCAGAAAAAGCTGATTTGTAGAGCAAAATCAAGGGGATGAAATAGGTTTGCAGAACCAACTGAGGCCTGTGAGAGAGGAGTTGCCCAGGTTTCTAGCTTTTCAGGTCCATTCCTGGGACACAGCCATGCTTCATTTCCTTATCTTTGGATTCCAGTGAGTTTTGCCTGATACATCCTTATAGTAAATCCCCTTGTTCTTTTATTTTAAAGTTTTAAGTACATTTTTTTTTTTTTAATTTCAGGGAGAGGGAAAGAGAGAGAAATAACAATGATAGAGAAGCATTGATCGGCTGCCTCCTGCATGCTTCCTACTGGGGATCGAGCCTACAACCTGGGCATGTGCCGTGACGGAATGGAACCGTGTGACCTCATGGTTCATAGGTTGATGTGGAACCAATGAGCTGCCCCAGTCGGGCATAATTCCGCTTTTTCTTAAAAAGGCTTGAGTCAGTTTCTGTTCCTTGCAGTTAGCTTAAGACACCTAAGTTTTGATCCTTAGTGACTGGGGTGGTGATGCCAAGAACATAAATGAAAGAGAAAACTCTTATTGTGGATTTACTGAATTTGACTGGAGGTGAGATATCCATGGGAAACCAGCAGTAGTTGGAAATGGGGCCTGAAACCCACTAGAGGTGAAACTAGAGAGACAGATCTTGCAGCATACGACTAATTATTGTGATAGAAGTGATTAAGGCAGCCTTGGGAGTTGGTACAGAAGAACAAAAGATGAGGACAAAATATTGGGAAAATGCATTTCAAGAATTTGCCAAAGACAAAAGGAGATGGAAAGTAGTAACAAAAAAGTGATGGTTCAAGCTGGTCACATGGTAAAGAGAAATTAAATAGGATGCCAGTCAAAAACAACATTGGGTTGGGTAATTGGAGTAGAAGCCAGGTGGATGTAGTTTTAGTAGTAGATAAGACATAATAAATACTATTTAGTTTGAAAAGCAGAATGTGTGGCACAAACAAGATCATTATTTTACCAAATATCTAAAAAAGTATAAATCATTTTGTTCATTTTTTTTTCCAAATTTTAAACATTGTAAAATGAGCATAATATAATTCCCAGCACTGTAATACAAGGCTGTTTCTGAGCTGGATCTTCAAAGATTGCTAGGAGGAAAATGGAAGGAAACTTCAGACACGTATATGGTTGCAGATTTACTCATGACAGTTCACATGTGCAGAGGAAGTGGAGTTTTCCTATAGAACTTCCATATCATTCCTCGTGAGCTCCCACCAGTGGGAAGTCTGGAAAAAAAATAATTTTTAGTCCTAACCACTTTAAAATCGAGCCTTATATAAAGGGGATATATAGTTTATAATATCTTGTTAATGCTTAAACTCTTGGAATATTGCGGTCTTATTTCTGCTCTTTCTCTTAAATGGGATCCAGATATATGGGGGAGGGAGCTTCATATGACACAGTGGCATCAAGGAAGTCAGTGTCTTCAGCTCTTCCTTTCTCTGGGCATCTTGCTGGCCTCTGGTGCCCTGAGCAACAGCTGGTAAATTGTGTGATCAGGTTTTTCCGACGAGCCTGGTCGGAGCCCTCAGTAGTTCTTGGCTGCACTGACCTCACCTAGGTTTTCTTAGGTATGGAGAACTCTGAGACTTCTTCAACTCTCAAGCAGTCCGGTTGCAGGTTACTTACTGCGGGCTCCAGGTAAACCTATTTGCTTCCCCATTAGCTATCTTCTGAGTCTCCTCTTGGGAGAATGTGGGAAGTTAGTGGGACATCTCCATAGCACACAAGAACAGAAAGAGGCCTAGAAAAGCATTAGTGCTAAGGGTTACTTGACTGTGTCCTAGCCTTAGAGGCTGTCTTTCCAGAATGCTGTAGACTCGTCTACTGCCCAGCATATTCTAGAATATTTCAGTGCAATAAAAGATGGGCTACTGCTACATTAAGCAACATAAATGAATCACACTAATACAATGTTGAGCAAAAGAAGTCAGATACAAAACGTATACACTATTTGATGCCATTTATTTAAAATTATTGAACAGGCAAAATTACTCTGGTGTTAGAAGTCAGTATAGTGGTTGTCTATTGGAAGAGGTTTGGAGGCACTTGGGGGAAGCGTGTGATTTACTGTCTTTATCTGTGTCATAGTTAACATAGGTGGGTAACTTTGTGATCATCTAGCTATTCACTCAAGATTTTTGTACTTTTCTGTGATTGCTATACATCCATTTAAAAGAAATATATAATTTTTTCTTTTAAATTGAAGAATGCGAAAACCAGAGCATTGGTTTTTAAACTGTAAAGAGGTGAAAGGTGACCTGGATTGTAAAAATGCAGACTCTACAGGCTGCTTAGAAACTTTTGATTCAGTTGGTCTGACTCTGAGAATCTGTATTTTAAACATTTGTCCCAGGTGATTCTGATGCTTCACACTTTTTAAAAATGCTGATTTAGTATCTGTAGTTTGACAAACTGTGATCACTCTCTGGACAGATGTTCAAGTGTAAGAAGTTTGTCATAATATATTTTTAAAAAATATTTTTATTGATTTCCAGAGAGGAAGGGAGAGGGAGAGAGAGAAACATCAGTGATGGGAGAGAATCCTTGATTGGCTGCCTCCTGCAGGCCCCTTGCTGGGGATCGAGCCCACAACCCAGGACCTTTATTTCTGCAGACCAACACTCTATCCACTGAGCCAAACCGGGTAGGGCAGAAGTTTGTCATATTGTCATTCAAGCTTGAGTTTATTGGATCTTTATAGGAGTAGTATTTCCTCACGAACTTAATGTTTTCCAAATGTAATAACAGTTTTAAATGTATTTTTTCCTATAGCATGATTTTTTAAAAAATATATATTTTATTGATTTTTTAGAGAGAGGAAGGGAGAGGGATAGAGAGCTAGAAACATTGATGAGAAAGAAACATCGATCAGCCGCCTCCTGCACACCCCCTACTGGGGATGTGCCCGCAACCAAGGTACATGCCCTTCACCAGAATTGAACCTGGGACCCTTCAGTCCACAGGCTGACGCTCTATCCACTGAGCCAAACCGGTTAGGCCCTATAGCATGATTTTATTGCACTTACTGAATTCTGTAGTTTTTCAGATTTGATTAGAAAACAAAAATTTTATTCAACTTCCTATTGCATTTTTAAATTATTACAGAACCACTTTGACTTTCCTGGGACATACAGCTTTTTAGATACAGATGTTTAGTTCTGGATCTGTTCAGCATGTAATAATGTAAAAGCACTTTGTAAAACCAATTAGTTTTTATATATGCACAAGAGAGATATTAAAATGGAAAGAAAAGTTTTCAAACATGTAAAGAAGAACTTTGCCACATAAGCTTTGATAAAATTTAATAACGAAGAGTAAAATCAGTAACTAGTAAAATCAGTATAAGTGTCCAGATATATTCTGTGGTCTGTATAGTTTTACTTATTCCATTTTAAACATTTGTTGACAGCACCAATGGAAGGTCATATCTAAAATTCTATTACCAGTGCTCGCTTCGGCAGCACATATACTAAAATTGGAACGATACAGAGAAGATTAGCATGGCCCCTGCGCAAGGATGACACGCAAATTCGTGAAGCGTTCCATATTTAAAAAAATAAAAATAAAAATAAAAAAATTCCATTACCAGATGTGGTAGTTTCCTTAAATATAACCTATAAACAATATTTACCTTTAAAAAAACACACACACACCTTGCCCCTGGCAGGCGTGGCTCAGTGGTTGCAGGTTAGATTCCCAGTCAAGGGCACATACCTAGGTTGCAGGTTTGATCTCTTGCTCTGGTCGGGATGAGTGCAGGAGGCAACCAGTTAATATGTCTCTCTTACATCGATGTTTCTCTCTCTCCCTCACCCCTCTTTTTTTCCAGTCGCTTAAGAAAAAAAAAAAAAATCAGTGGAAAAAATATCCTCAGTTGAGGATTGACCAAAAAATAAAATAAAAACCTAGAAATCCATTTCATACATTTTGTTACTAACAAAAACTATTGGGTGTGTATTTATTAACCAATTCCAGATGTTTTAAGGTTTTGTTTCTCAGCAACCCAATAGCAACCATCTGCCCTAGATGATTCAAATTCATCTCTCTGAAAACAGGAAAATGCATTTCTTAAGGCATTTAGGTCTTTTCTGCTCAATGACTCTATTAACATTACATGAAAATAATGCCTGATACAATTTGTTCAAATGTTCTTCCCATTTTATAACCACCACCATCACCATTTTCACCCCTTCTGTTGCCCCCCAACCCCTTCCCAGGGAGTATGGAAAGATGGTATTAGGTGCTGTATATAAGGAAAGACCTGTTAAACTTTAAAAGTAATGAAATAGTAGGGGATATTTATCTTAATTGTTTAATTTAATGAAGGAATGGGCAGTGGGTGATATGTCTGGGGTTTTTTTGTTTTGTTTTTGTTAATCCTCATCTGAGGATATTTTTCCATTGATTTTTAGAGAGAGAGTGGAAGGAAGGGGGAAAGACAGAGACACATCGATCAGTTGCCTCCCACACAGGCCCTGACCTGGGCCAGTGATGGAGCCTGCAACCAAGATACATGCCCTTGACCAGAATTGAACCCAGGACCCTTCAGTTTGCAGGCTGACGCTCTATCCACTGAGCCAAACTGGCAAGGGCTCTATGTTTTTTTAATGTTAAATTTTTAGAGTACAGCTGTGATTTGAGGAATTCACAATACTTTAAGTGAACGTCAATACTTGGGACAACTGTAAAGTTGACCACTACCTTTTATTCTAATCCATTCTCAACATTTAGAGACAGACTTATTTTCTTTTAGACTGCAGAACCTCAGCTTAATTTAAAGTACCTTTTAAAATCTGTTCACATACTTTTTTCTCACTTTGCCTGGCTTGAGTAGTAATAAATCATTCAAATTAAGCAGCCTCTTTTTGGTTTGTATGGATTCATAAGTTTGTGAATATAGGTCTCTAATTGAAGGATCCTAGTGTCAATTGCCTCTTCATAGTAATCTTAATTTGAAAACAAGATCCACTACAAGGCAACAGTCATTATTTGCCATCAAATCATTAAAATGTTACTGACAAAAGAGAGAACTATGTTAAAAGAGAATTATCTTAAAGAGAGAAAGATAGAACTCCAAAAGAGAGCTGTCTTAAAAAGCTCACTGGTAGCACTGGCGTGTTTGGGAAGTATACTTTTATATGTATTTGTATATGTGTATTTATACCTATTTGCCTGTATCTGTGAGATTGTATCAACACCCATCTGTAATACCTAAATAAGACATATAAAATGCTTTTCAACCCCTAAACCCCTTGGAATTCCCTGAGAATCTGCTACCTGAAACCTTTTTACCACTTCATGACAACCTAGAGTTAGCATACCTATAATGACCTTTTCTTGTATGCTATTTTACTACTTGGTTATATTTTCTTTACAGAAAGTTCCTTGATTTCTTTCTCCAGGGTATAAAAATTGTAGTCTCTATTTTGTAAAATTTCCTTTTAAAAATTGCACTACTCAGTTTTTTCATAATGGATAGTTTAATATAGCCATATCTTTTACATATTTGATCAAAGTAATTTGTCCTAATTTATGAAATGGGCAATAAAATGTTCCTCTCTGTGAATATAAGAAGTCAAATGTGTGAAAATTATTTTAGAGCTGTTTGTCATAGCTGTTGGCCTACTGGTACAAGACTGAAACCGGCATTAGATGAGTGGCTGAAAGCTTCTCCATAAGTTGGTGTCCAATAGTAGTGCCTTTTAAGGCCATTGGAGACTTCTGAAAGATACACACGTCCATCCACCTCATACGGCTGCACATCGGTATCGTCTGGTTTTAGACGGCCCATTTTAATTAAGTTTGAATATGCCTAATATTTTTAAGAAAAGAAAAACTATATCATTAAGAAAATAGTTTATTCATTTTACAGTACTTAAATTGGCTGTGCTAATTTGCAGTTTATAATAAAATATTCTGAATAACATTGCTGAATTTTTATACTTTCTAGGTATTGTAATTAGGTTTTTATTCATTTAATTTCACACAATGAAATTAAAATTTTGTAAAACATTTCTAATATATTAGGAGCTTTTTTTTTTTTTTTTAAATAACCCCTAGAGTTACCAATTCTCTGTACACCACTTTTGTGGACTGAAAAGTCCCATGGTCAAAAATGTCAAGTCCCACAGAGGTTCTTAAATGAAGGAGGAGGGCTATTGTATATGTCCTTGAAGATCTGATGATAACCAGGGATCCATTTCTCAGAAAAATTAAGCACAGATTTTATCTTACAACTATACGGAGTTCATGAACTTGCTGAAACTAATCTACAGATTTAGGCTAAGAGATAATCCCCATAGTATTAGATGCTGGCCTGGCTGGCTGCCTAATTATATCTTCATTGTAGAAATTACTTTGCATATTGCTTATGGATCATTGGTATCTGTGTAAGGGTGTTATACAAGCGTGTTAAACTGGTTTGTCAGTAAGGTTGCAATTATAGAGAAAGGCAAATTTAGACAGTAAAAGATTTTAAAGTCTAGCTGCTTTCTGCTTTAGCTTGTCATTATTAGTTGTAAACTCAACTTAGCTTCTAGTATGTGATCTTTATATTCATACTAGAGGCCCGGTACATAAAATTCATGCACAGGAGGGGGGTTGGTAACCCTCAGCCCAGCCTGCACCCTCTCCAATTTGGGACCCCTTGGAGGATGTCCGACACTGGTTTAGGCCCGATCCCAGTCAGACATCCATCTCACAATCAGGGACTGCTGGCTCCTCACTGCTTGCCTGCCTGCCTGATTGCCCCTAACCGCTTCTGCCTGCCAGCCTGATCCACCCCTAACCACTCCCCTGCCAGCCTGATTGACGCCTAACAGTTACCCTGCCGGCCCGATCGCCCCCAACTGCCCTCCCCTGCTGACCTGATCGCCCCCAACTGCCCTGCCCTGCAGGCCTGATCGTCCGCATCTGCCGTCCCCTGCCGGCCATCTTGTGGTGGCCATCTTGTGATGATGTTGCACGATGTCACCTAGGCTTTTATTATATAGGATGTAGCACTTGATATCTTGCTATTTCAATCAAACTTTCCAGTAGCTAATTTTTAGGACTTAATGTTAAAATTTATCAAAACTTATAGTGCCTCACTCTACTTTGTAATCATTCCTAATGCACTTGTAAACAATGTAAATAATTATCTCTCTCTATATATATATAAAAAAAGGAAATATGCAAATTAGGCCAGGACACCGTAATGGGTCACGACCAGGCAGGAGGAGGTTGCGCACACAGGTGAGGCCCAGAGCAGAGACGGAGATGGAGACAGAGATGGGGCTGGCAAGCCGAGAGACCCTGCTCGCCCCCCCCCCCCCTCCCGCACCGCCCCGTGTGGGAGCGGACAGGGACAGGAGGGCTGGCCCCACAGCCTCTGTGGCCAAACGCAGGCCTGGAGAGGAGACAGCACGCCCACCTTCTGCAGAAGCAGCCCGGCTCCCTCCTGCTCCCATGGGCGCCAGCGGCTTGCTTCCACCTCTCGCAGAAGCTGCATGGCTCCCGTGGAAGCAGCACGGCTCCTGGCAGTGCACTGCGGTTCCCGCCGGCTCCCAGGGAAGTGGCGGGCGGGCTACTGCATGTGATGTCGCACGATGGGCTACTAGGTAAGTAAATAATATCTGATGTCATAGAGAAGACCCTAGAAAATAACCTTCAGTAAAGAAAAAAACTTACCACACATGTAGCCTCATCAAATTTGTTTCCCCAGATGTAGATATTAGAGAGTGTGGCATTTGTTTTCATTGACTGTGAAAGTGCAACAAGTCCTTCTCCCTCTATGTTGTTGCTGACTATTGACAACCTGTGAAAAAACAAAAAGTGATAACCTGGAAACTAGTATTTCCACAAAAAAGAGAATGCCTAAGTTAGCAACATTTATTACAAACAGGTTATTTTGTAGTCTCAGCATTATTCTTAAATACGTTTACTGTAGTAGTCAAAATACTATGTATTTCCTCAGATCCAAGAAACTTAGTTTTCTGCTTGTATGCTTCATGCACCTAGTAGAGTTGCCTACATTGTGGAAATCGTTTTATATTATTCAGTAAGTGTTTGGGGGTGGATTACAGATATATCTTTGAAGATAAAAGTCATCCAAGTAATACTTTCTTTTTTTCTATTCTCACCTGAGAATATTTTCCATTTTTTTTTTCCCTTTTAGAGAGAGTGCAAATGGAGGGAGGGAGGAAGGGAGAGAAAGAGACACTGATGTAAGAAAGACACACTGATTGGTTGTCTCCTGCACTGCACTTGCCCTCACCGGGGCAGGGATTAAATCCGAAATCCTTTGGTGCACAGTCTGACACACTAACCACTGAGCAACACCAGCAAGGGCAGTAATATTTTCTTTGATTCATTCTTCATTTTAGAATTCAGGTTAAATAATGTAAGCAATAAGAATATTCTTATTCATTTTAAGCAATCATAACTAGAATAAAACAATAATTTTTTTTTAATTAAAAATATATTTTATTGATTTTTTCACAGAGAGGAAGGGAGAGAGATAGAGAGAGTTAGAAACATCGATGAGAGAGAAACATCGATCAGCTGCCTCTTGCACATCCCCCACCGGGGATGTGCCCGCAACCCAGGTACATGCCCTTGACCGGAATCGAACCTGGGACCTCTCAGTCTGCAGGCCGACGCTCTATCCACTGAGCCAAACCGGTTTCGGCTAAAACAATCTAATTTTTAAAAGTACTTTTGAAAATTAGAAATTGAAATGTTTATTGCACACTTAATATTATGACAGTTTAGGAAATTAGTATCATGAATCTTAAGAGTTAAGTGGTTTGATGTTACATTTAAGTTTTCTGTTATAAAATACAAACCATACTAACGCTTTAAGGCTCCTGTTGTGTGAAGCAAGAGTTTCACTGAGACTATTTGCTCCTGCATTTTCTATTCTGTTAAAAGAAAGATCTATTACTTCCAGGGTAGTGTTGCTTTTCAGTACATCAGCCAAAAACACCATTCCATCATGAGTTATTTTATTGCTGGGAAAGGAAAAATATGTAGTTACTAGTGAGTGGCCTGGTGCAGGAATTTGTGCACATTGAAATTAATTAGAAGAAATATTTTAATATCACTATTCACCCTTTATAATAGAAGTGTCAACCAAATTCACGATATACAATGACAGATAAAAACACACGTGTGCAATTGGCCCTAGCAAGAGCTTTATATGTATCGCACATGCATGAGTCAACTTAGCCTTTTATATATCCTATATAATAAAAGCCTAATATGCTAAGTGTCCAGTCATTGGTCGTCCATTCAACCAATCAAAACATAATATGCTAATGATATGCTAAGGCCACTCAACCGCTCACTATGATGTGCACTGACCACCAGGGGGCAGACGCTCTGACTGGTAGATTAGCTTGCTGCTGGGGTCCGGCTGATCGGGACTGAGCAAGATGGACCGGACACACCCTGGAGCCCTCCCCGGCCCCAATCATGCACCGGTGGGGTCCCTTGGCCTGGCCTGTGCCCTCTTGCAATCCAGGCTGAGGGACCCCCCTCCCCACAAGTGCACAAATTTCATGCACTGGGCCTCAAGTATAGAATAAACTTGCTTGATTAGACCTGCTTTCGAATGGAGCTAAACTTTTTCCAACCCAGTGAAGCACCCCAACTTCTCTTTCAGGTAATTGTCAGCAACACAGCAGTAAATATCAACATGAAACACATTATTATTGTAGATCATGCAGGGAGAACAAAGGGTGAAATATTTAACTGCAGCAGTGTTTGACTATATTCTGCGCAGTGAGAAAACCTGAAGTCATTTTCAAGGTCCATCATTTCTTCTTTTCAGTTAAGTTTCTAAACTTTCTAAATCTGTGTTTTCTGGCTAATGAAAAGAAAATAGGATTCTACCGAGTCTCCTATCTGCCTGCTCCAGGACTTCTGTGAGGATCAAATGAGACGAGGCATGGGAAAACACTTCACAGACTTTGGTTAAAGTGTAAAATGTTTGCACCTGGCTATAAAGCAAATCGTGTTCCTGGGGTGAAGAAACTCCAAGGAGGCTAGTCGCTAGGGAGAGGAAGCCGGGCGATGCTACATGATGTCATTACCTGGTGCCCACAGCAACCGTTTCTGGGCTGGGCTGAGCTGTGGGCTGCATTTGTGCCATGGGGTCTCAGCAGCGTTTGCTACGATTTGGTGGGTATCACTCCGGGGTGGTGGTGGGGCCTGTGTCCTACTTGGGGGAAGCCGAGTGTTGGTTTGTGGGCACCAGATCCATAGTGCTGTTTATTGTTAAATGGCCTGTTGCTAGGGAGAGGAAGCCAGGCTTTGCTACGTGACGTCATTACCCGGCACCCATAGCCATTTCCGGGCTGGGCTGGGCTGGGCTGGGCTGTGGGCCGCATTTTTCGCCATGGGGTCTCGGCAGTGTTGGCTGCGATTTGGTGGGCTGTTGCTCTGGGGTCCACGGTGCCATTTCTCTGTAAATGTCTTGTGTTAAGTGTCTGCCCCCTGGTGGTCAGTGCACCTCGTAGCGACCGGTTGGACAGTCAGACACTTAGCATATTAGCCTTTTATATATAGAGATATTTGAAAATATGAAGTATCATATTTTAAAATATATTTCTATTGATTTCAGAGAGGAAGGGAGAGGGAGATATAGATACATCAATGATGAGAGAGAATTACTGATCGGCTGCCCCCTGCATGCCCCCTAATGGGAGTTGAGCCCATAACCCAGGCATGTGCCCTTAACTGAAATCAAACCCATGACCCTTCAGTCCGCAGGCCGACGCTCTATCCACTGAGCCAAACTGGCTACGGCTGAAATATTATTTTATTCATAGAACATACTTAAAAATTACAGAGTGATAAACAGTACTTTCTATTTCTCTAAATATTTATTTTACTCAATTTCCAAAAAAGTTAATGAAAATTTGCCATAAAATGTTGCTTCCATTCTGATTTTCATTATTAAGTTGCTCACTTAAATTATTAGGTGATTAATATCAGTATAAACTAAATAAATTCTAAGGCTTAGGATAAAAAGTTGACAACAGTGGTTATGTTTTCTAATCTTTGGAATTAGTGTCTAACAAAATATACTATATACTATGAATATTGACATAGATTATGCCCATGACTTGAATTACTTACTGTATAAATTATCACCTACCAGCTGACATCAAGGTAGCGCAGGCTTCTGTTCAGATATAGTGCATCACATAACTGTTTTAGGCCAGAATTTTTCACATCATGCTTACTCATGTGTAGTGTAATAAGACTGTGATTTTCCTTTAACATGTGGCCTAGATGAACTGTGGACTCTTCCTAAAAAATAGATAAAATCGTTTTTCTAAAGTATAATTTTGAAGCAGTGGATGTTTGTTCCGAACTTATACTAAAAATGATCTTTTTTTTTTTTTTGCCATAAATGATCCTCTTTACCTTCTTTGCCACAAATGATATCTTTACTGTCTTAGAAACAGGTAGCAGGTACTCGCAAAATGCAGTAACTAAATGATGTAAAAGAGGCTAGTTAAAAAAAACATAATAATCACTAAGAAAAAGAATCATTCCAGAAGGAAAAAAATCAAACCAACTGGTCTTATGATGTAGTGAGCATATTAACTCCCTTACTGCCGTCCACTCAAGTCTCTAAACCGTTCCTGACCCTCCATATATTCCTAAACTTTGTTCTTGATCTCCTCTTAATAGTAGACAAGATATAAAGACATTTCTTAGTCTCCACTCTATTTTAAAAATACACCCATTTTAACCGACTGATATATCCGATTCCTCCCTTTTATAATCATCCCAAATGTCTAAATACCACATATCTTAATCTTGTTTTCTTGTCACTGGAAGAGTTTTTTAAAAATGTATTTTTATTGATTTCAGAGAGGAAGGGAAAGGGAGAGAGAGAGAGAGAGAGAGAGAAACATCAATGATGGGAGAGAATTATTGATCGGCTACTTCCTGCACATCCCCCACTGGGGACAGAGCCTGCAACCTGGGCGTATGCCCTGACCAGGAATCAAACCGTGACCTCTTGGTTCATAGGTCAAAGCTCAACCACATTGGCCAGGCTGGAAGACTTTTTTTAAATTCCAAAATATAGCTGCTCCCAGGCAAAAGGTATATAACTTCAATGAGGATTTGAATACCAAGCATTTCAAATTTTTAACAGAATCAAAATGTGTCTTAAAATGAATGGACCCAAGTATTTTCTGGTCCTCTTGAATGATTGTTGTATTTGTAGTAAGTTTTATAGTCACTAAAAATGCTGATCACAAATACGATAACTATGCTTTAATTATGTAAATGTACATTAAAAAAAACTTTAAAAGTTAAATGAAACCACACAGCAATAGCACATGAGCTTTATAATAAAACTGTCCAAATGCTAGCTTTACCTTTTACTAGCTATATGACTAGGCAAATTATTTCATCTGAGTCTGTTTCCTTTTCTGTTAAATAGGTGAAATTATACTTCCCACCAAAATTAAATAAAGTACCTGCACAAAATAAGTTCTAGAGAAAACTGCAAAAAGCATTCATTCCTTCAATATTCTATAATCCTGTATCTGGTTTGCTTATATTATTGTTTTGACAATGAAAAGATATACCCAAGGGGAAGCTGTAGTTACCATCCTAAGAAATGCAAACTGACCCCCTGGGGCAGCAGTTGCCAACCTTTCGGACCACAGGTTGGCGACCGCTGCCCTATGGAGTCCAGTGTTGCTGTGTGTGCTGCCTGGAATGGAGGACATATAAAAACATATTTGTGTTGTACATCTTGATTGCATTTTTAGGTCAAGAAGTTTGAAAGAGAGGACTAATGTTAGAAATAGTAAAGGGGTTTTTTTCAGCCCCATTCACTAAGTTTGTGACTTAATTTGCCTAGGGTGGCACCTAATATAGATATTAGTCTAAACTCCCCAGATAGTGAACATAAAATTCTTAAATGAAATCAGTTTGCAGGTTCACATTTTGGAACTGCAATGTGTGAGGCCCACAAGCCATTTAAGAGGAGAGCAGCGCTCAGTGAGAGAGGGCAGGGACTGACTTGGAGAGGAAGAGAAAGCAGAGTTTAGCTGACTGCCCAGAAGCTGCAGACTGAGAGTAAGGGCCTGGGCTTTTCATTACTCTTTTGGGGTGGATTGGGGAGTAATGAGGCCACTCAACATAATATGATTTCATAGAGTTTAACCTTTATTTCCTCGGGACCTTTAATCCAGAAAATGTTTAGCCTTCAGATCTGTCATGCCCTCAATCTGAGAACCTTCCCAGCTACCTCTCATCCCTCTGTATTGGTTTTGCTGCCCTTCCTCATGCTCCCAAGGTCCCCTAACCATAACACCCTCCAAAATTGTTGATCTCATCCCATGTAGACGAAAGCTCCTTGAAGACAAGGGCTGAGTCTATGTCTGACTTCTTAGTCTAGCACCCAGCGTTGTGTCTGGTTTAGGGTTTCATTCAAATGTTTATTTTTAAAGGTGACTTTAAAATAATTTGTATTGATTTCAGAGAGGGAGAGGGAAATAGAAACATCAATGATGAGAGAATAATTGATGAGCTACCTCCTGCATGCCCCCTACTGGGGATGGATCCCGCAACCCAGGCATGTGATCCAACTGGGAATCGAACTGTGACCTCCGTCTGGTTCATAGGTCGATGCTCAACCACTGAGGACACCAGCCCGGCAAATGTTTATAAATGAATGAATCGCCAGTGAAGCAACTCACTGAATGCTTACTTTGAGTCAAGTACTTTGCTGGTCTTTTAAAGAAGGGTGCTTGTATTTGAGGATTCTGTATTTGTTGAACAGATTAGATTTATGTACGTGAAGCAATTAACATGTAAAATTACAAAAATTTTGATACAGGAAAGTGCAGAAATGATTCAAAGGGAGAGATCTATGCAAAGAATGCAAAAACACGAATATTGAAAATATTTTAAGAATATAGTTAATTCTCACCCAGCCAGCATGGCTTAGTGGTTGAGTGTCAACCTATGAACCAGGAGGTTACAGTTCAATTCCCAGTCAGGGCACATGCCCAGGTTGAGGGCTTGATCCCCATTGTAGGGCATGCTGGAGGCAGCTGATCAATGATTTTCTCTAATCATTGATGTTTCTATCCCTCCCTCTCCCTTCCTCTTTGAGATCAATAAAAATATATTTTTTAAAAAATATAGTTAATTCTCAATGACTCATACTAATGGAGAATAATGACATAGATAATTTAAAGACTAGACAAAGTACTTTGAAAATTTTTTTAGTAGATATTCTGTTTTTGTTTAGAGCAATAATAAAATGAGTTCTTGTTCACTAGTTTTTTACAACTGACAAGAAAGGAAAACCACCTAAAAGAATGTTAAGGGGCAAGAAGCCTTGAAAGTAGGAACCACATTTTTTTTTTAAATATATTTTATTGATTTCTTACAGAGAGGAAGGGAGAGGGATAGAGAGTTAGAAACATCGATGAGAGAGAAACATCAATCAGCTGCCTCCTGCACACCTCCAACTGGGTATGTGCCTGCAACCAAGGTACATGTCCTTGACAGGAATCAAACCTGGGACCCTTGAGTCCGCAGGCTGACGCTCTATCCACTGAGCCAAACCAGTTAGGGCGGAACCACATTTTTATCTGTGTGTCTCCAGCATGCGGGCTTACCTACAGGAGCAAGTCCAGACTTCCCAGACTGCTATGCACACGCATTCTGCCATGATTACTCATGACTTCAAAGATGTCATGGTTCAGTCACCGCAATATAACAAAAACAAACAGTAAAACAGTTCACACCCGCCTTATAGTCCAGCCTTTAAAACTTTCATCTTTTATTCTTTCATTGTAATTACTTTGCCCCTCATAGGTTTACTCACTGAGAATTTGAGTTTATGAGAAGAAAAAAAAATTATATGTTTGCTGCCTAAATAAGCAACTTTTAAAACATATTTAGCTTTAAGACTCGTATCAAGAAGTAATAATTTTCCTTTAAAAGATTTTTTTATATAAATAGTAGTTTACAGTCTAGAAATACAATGCATTTGTGAACCTTGACATAACATTCAGTAAGCAGTACCTTCATTTTATTCACATGTGGTAATATTAATTACTGTTACTCGGGATACATACCTGCTCACCATACAGTATAGGTCGGTTTAGGTTTATTGCTTTAATTGTCTGGTTCTGAGTTAGGACTGTAGCAAATGCTATCACACTTTGCATTCCCTAAAAACAGATAAATTCTTTAAGGAAACTTACAAAATATATAAATTAACCTCCCTATAAATAAATATTTCAAGATTGGTAATCTGGAATCTGATAAATGAAAATTATGGCTTAAAAATGTTTAAGAATTTCCTGCTCCTTGAATTATAGATTGACCAAATTCAGAAATGAACTGTTATGCTCTTTTCTCCCTGCCCTGACCCCTATTGATAACATGCATGGGGAGTTTCAGTATCCGAGAATCTGCTAGGGTGTTTGCCTCTAGGTTTGCTCCTAAGCCCTCAGATACACATGTGAATCCCAGCTAGGGCTCTGTACGACTGACAACACCTATCCTGTGCCAGCATTCTTTTATAGTCATACTTTAAGTGTAGGTGGCAGGAAAGGGTTACTCATCACATTTCCACCGCTCCCACAGGCCTCCCTCTCTACCTTATTGGGTCGGTCTAATCCTCTCCATCTCAGTGATGGTACCGCCACACACACCCAGCTATTTTGCCATAAAACCTGTGCTTCCTTTCACTCCACCAGTCCTCTTACCCTCCCATCCAGTTAATCAGTAAGTCTTACAGATTCTACCTCTAAAAAATGTCTCAGATTAGGGAACCTCTGTGGCCACCACCCTACCCCCATCTTTGTCCTCATCAATCGCCCACGTGGACAACTGCAATAACTTCCTATGTGGTCACTGGGTTTCCTCTTGCCACCCCCTTATTCTTCACAGAGAAACCAGAATGATCTTTTGAAAGCACCAATCAGATCATGTCACCCCTCAACTTGAGGACTTTCCATGACTGGCATCCTATATAATAAAAGGGTAATATGCAAATTGACCCTAACAGCAGAACGACTGGGAATGACTGGTCACTATGACACACACTGACCACCAGGGGGCAGATGCTCAATGCAGGGGCTGCCCCCTGGTGGTTAGTGCGCTCCCACAGTGGGAGCTCTGCTCAGCCACAAGCCAGGCTGACGGCTGCCAGTACAGCGGTGGTGGTGGGAGCCTCTCCCGCCTCCTCAGCAGCGCTAAGGATGTCTGACTGTAGCTTAGGTCTGCTCCCCACTGGCAAGTGGACATCCCCTGAGGGCTCCTGGGCTGACTGCCAGTTTAGGCCTGATCCCCTGGGGAGCAGGGCTAAGCCAGCAGGTGGACATCCCCCGAGGGGTTCCAGACTGCGAGAGGGCACAGGCCAGGCTGAGGGACCCCCTGAGTGCACAAATTTTTGTGTACCGGCCTCTAGTTTATAATAAAATCCCCTCTGCTTCCCATGACCCACATTTACAACCCACACAACCTTTGTTGGAACTGGCCCCTATAAACCTCTCCACCTTCACTGTGAGGCACTCTTTAAACTCCTGTCCAGCCACTGTCTTTTCAGTTCTTAAAACCTGCCAGACTTCATGTTTCATTATTCATGTTCCTCCCTCATGATTTTACCATCAAGCTGAACATCAGTTTTAGTATTATTTCTTATCCTCACCCAAGGACATGCTTAGAGAGAGGAAGGGAGAGAAAGAAACATCAATTAGTTGTCTTCCATACTCCCCCAACCGGGGACCAAACCCAAAACTCAGGTATGTGCCCTGACCTGGAATCAAACTGCAACCTTTTGGTGCATAGAATGACGTTCAACCAACTGAGCCATTCTGGCTGGGCAGTTTTACTATTTACCTAACATTTTTCCATTAAATCAACTCTTTCACTTTATTTTAAAACTCTGTATCACTCCCAGCTGAGGTGGCTCAGTGGTTGAGTGTCCACCTATAAACCAGGAGGTCACAGTTCAATTCCTGGTCAGAGCACATGCCTAGGTTGTGGGCTCAATCCCCAGTAGGGGGCGTGAGCCAATCAATGATTTTCTCTCATCATTGATGTTTCTAACTCTCTCCCTCTCCCTTCCTCAATGATATCAATAAAAATATACTCAAAAAACACACCTTTGTATCACTACTGTAAATGGAAAACCATAATCCCTTGAAATAAATAGAAAGCATCTGCAAAACATGTACATAAGGATTAAAATTACCTCAACCTGTGGCAGTAATACTGCCTCCACCACACATGGAGAAGTACTAGCAGAGTCTATATATTGGACTCCTCGCCTGAAATGTTCTGCCATAGACCTCTCCGAGGCAGTTTTTCCTCGTCTTTCATGACTCCTAAATATTACTTCCTCAGGTCTTAGGCAACCATCTATCATGCGAATCACCTCGTCCCCATTATAAACAGTACTTGGCCATCTTCATAGCACCTTTCTCTATTTATTGATATTTTCCCAACTAAATATAGGCTTTATGAAAGAAGGCAGAGACCACATTCGATGCACACTTGTATCCTTGGAAGCTAGGATTGTGACTGTTATGTGTAGAGGGTATATGTTGAATTAATGCTTCTCCCAGAGCCATACTGGCATCTACTACTTTTTAACCCTTTGCGGTCGTATTAAATTTGGACATGGGTGTCGTACTGGTCGGAATTAATTTCCATTGAAAAAGCAGTGATACATACCATGCAAGATTATGAAGGATAAACAAGATTTATTAATTCTTTTTTGGAACTACGTCACTACTAGTAGAATCACTACAAACGTTATCACTTTCTACGTCAGAGTCAGTATTCAAGGTGCCAAAATAAAACTCTTCATCGTTACTTTCAGATTCGCAGTACACTTCTTCCGGTAACTTTCTTTTTGCCATTTTGGAGTATTATTTTGAAATATCTTAACAAGCGAGAATGCCTAATTACAGTTAAACGTAATTTGTAAAGCTTTATTTGAAATTCTGCGAAGTATCTCCGAAGCTTGTCGATTTCTTCACTCTCAAAAGGCGACTGACTCGCCACGGTGTTTTGCATGGCGAGTGTGGAACGACCGCGTTTGTTTATATTGAGTTTCGATATCTCCGATTTGTCGGGGCAATGTTTTGGTTCGTGACAAGGTTGCTTAGACACTTAAGAGCTTTCAGAGAAATTATGAACTGATACATGAATGAATAGAGTTAAGATTCGTACGGTTCCTTACTGTGGTGGCTGAGAGCAGACATACGACCAGAACGGTAAAAAAGCTTTGGTGGCTGAGAGTAGACAAACGACCGCAAAGGGTTAAAGCTCCAGAACCCATTATTCCTAGGAGCCTCCTGGCCCATCTTATTGTTTTTGTGTCCCAGTAATTTTCATTCATCTGTACAACACGTTCCCAACATTAGGCCTCCAGGTCTGAAAGCATGTTGAGAAAATGAAGCCCGGAATTTGAAGACATGCAAAACCCACACACCTCATCATCAGGCCAGTGGAAGGCCCAGAGCAGTTTTTGGCATCATTTTAGGTCTTTTTTTTTTTTAATATATTTTTATTGATTTTAGAGAGGAAGGAAGAGGGAGAGAGAGTTAGAAACGTCAATGATGAGAGAGAATCGCTGATTGGCTGCCTCCTGCACACCCCCCACTGGGGATCGAGCCCGCAACCCGGGCATGTGCCCTTGACCGGAATGGAACCTGGGACCCTTCAGTCTGCAGGCCGACGCTCTATCCATCGAGCCAAACCGGCTAGGGTTCATTTTAGGTTTTTAGGCTACAACTACTCACTTTAAAATGTTTTCAAAAGTAAAAAATTTGTATCATACTAATAAAGTAGTATTTGTTTAATTAAAATGAATACAGTCTTTTTCTTTTAAATCCCACACAGGTTAAGGTTTGTGGACGGAAATTTAGGAAGATTTTTATTATATTGGAAATTCTTCCGTAATGTCATTTACAACAATCTGATTTATTAAGTAAGCACTATTATGCCTAGGTTTTCTGTTTTTGTTTTTTTTCTTAAAGCAGCCTTTTCTCCGATATTAGACATTAGGGGCAAGTCTAACCATTCATAAGGCTGTCATTTAGCTGCTCTCTATGCTGGTTTCCAGGGAAAAGGATCCATTATCTGGGTGATTTTCTCATAACCAATTTACTCACCAGATCAGTGTCACCCAGATCTAACTTCTCTAAGGATGAATTCATTTGTAGCATTGCAGCAAAACACATTCCACCTTTATTTTCAACCTTGTTTCCAGTCATTCTTAGGTATTTCAGAGTTGTATTCTTCTGAAAAGGGAAACAGTCAAACCTTGGTTAAGTTTTTAATCCACAGAAATTCAGAGTATATGAGTTAGGTGACTATTTTACTATTTGCAGGCTCATCAATTATTCATGGAGATAGAATTGGATAGTCTTTAAGGGTGACATTCAATTTCCCATAATAGATAAAATGTAGTTTAATAGTAGCTCAGTAGAAAGAATACCCAGGAAACAGATGCTAAACAATAACCACGAAATAAAGCAGACTTTTAATAAACTTTCTTTTCCTTGGAAAATCTACAAATTTATCTTCTAAGAACATTATACCATTTTTTTATTGAGGTGAAATTTACATAACACAAAATTAACCATTTAAAAGTGTACAATTCACTGATTTTTAGTATATTCACAGTCATCACCGCTAGCTGCTTGCAAAACATTTTCGTCAGTCACCCCCAAAGGAAACCCGGTGCCCATTAAGCAATCAGTTCACTTTTAAAGATCTAGTTCTCAGACATTCTCAAAGTTTAATTCCTTCTCTCATTCTACTTTTTGGATAACTTTCACAAAGAAAGTTACAGACATTTCATTGTCCTAATGAATAAATATTAGGACATGTAAGTGCAAATAATTGTCTTTAAAACTAATTCAAACTCACCACCTTTATTTAACACTCGAGGCCCAGTGCATGGATTCGTGCACCAGTGGGGTCCCTCAGCCTGGCCTGTGCCCTCTCGCAATCCGGGATCCCTCGGGGGATGTCGGACTGCCGGGATCACAGTCCGACATCCCCTGAGGGATGTAGCATTGTGCGAAGCAGCAGGAGGTGGGGAGGAGCCCAAGCTCAGGCTGGTTACTGCGCCACTCCCGCTACAGTAGCACTGCCACAGAGGTGAGAGAGGTGATCAGTTGAGCAGAGCTCCCGCTGTGGGAGCTCACTGACCACCAGGGGGCAGCTCCTGTGTTGAGCATCTTCCCCCTGGTGGTCAGTGTTCATCATAGTGACCAGTCGAACGGTCGACCGGTTGCTTAGGGTTTTATACATATAGAGATTATACTGAAGGTTCTACACAGGGCCATCAGGCAAGAAGAAACTAAAAAGGCATCCAAATTGGAAAAGAAGTAAGTAAAACTATCTTTGTTTGCATATGAAATTATCTTATATGTAGAAAATCTTAAGGAAGCCACACAAAAAGGAAAAATCTGTTAGAACTAATAAACTTCAGCAAGACTGCAGGACACAAGGTCAATATATACACTGAGTGGCCAGATTATTATGACCACCCCATCAGTACGTCGTTGGGCCACCTTTTGCCTTCAATACTGCGGCGATTCTTCTTGGCATTGACTCCACAAGATGTTGAAAGGTGATGCGAGGAATCTGACACCATGCCTGATGAATAGCACTGTCCAGTTCTGTGAGATTTGATGGTTGTAGAACCAGCTGCCTGATGGCTCTTTTAACTTCGTCCCACAAATGCTCCATTGGATTGATCTGGTGATTGTGGGGGCCACCTAAGCAAGGTAAAGTCTCCCTCATGTTCTTGAAACCACTCCTGCACAATATGAGCACCGTGGCATGGCGCATTGTCTTGTTGGAAGAAGCCATCTCCATTGGGATACACCATCAGCATGATAGGATGAACTTGATCAGCAACGATACTTAGGTATGTTGTGCTATTCAGGCATTGTTCCACACGAATTTAAGGGCCCAAATCATGCCAGGAAAACATGCCCCTAACCATAACACTACCCCTACCAGCTTGAAGGGTTGTACTCATGCATGTGGGGTGCATGCTTTCATGCTGTTTCTGCCAAATTTTCATTCTGCCATCTGCATGATGCAATTGGAAACATGATTCATCGGATCACATGACTTTTTCCAATGCTCGACTGTCCAATCCTTGTGTTCCTGTGCGAATTGGAGACGTTTTATCTTGGTAACTGCAGACAGCAAAGGTGTTCGAATAGGCCTTCGGCTTCCATATCCCATACAATGCAGTGTATGGCTAATTTGCCTACAAACATCAGGTGGTCACAATAATCTGGCCACTCAAGTGTAAAAAATCCATTGTATTTTTATACATGAGCAATGACAAATCAAAAAATTAAATTAAGAAAATTCCAGTTACAATATTATCAAAAAGTATAAAACATTAGGAGTACATTTAACAAAAGAAGGTCAAGACTTGCACGTTGGAAACTATAAAGCATCACTGAAAGAAATTAAAGACCCAAATAAACGGAAACATCCCCATATTCAGGGACCAGAAGACTTAATATCATTACGATGGCAATACTCCCCAAACTGATTGTAAGATTTAAAACAATTCCTCTCAAAATCCCAGGTGCTTTTCTTGCAGAAATTGATGAACTGATCTTAAAATTCATAAGGAAATACAAGGAACCCAGAAGAGCCACATGATCTTGAAAAAAGAACAAAGGACTCACACTTCTTGACTTCAAAACTTACTACAACACTACAGTAGCTGTGATAGTGTGGGACTGGAACAAAGACAGGCATATATAGATTAAAAGAATAGAATGGAGAGCACAGAAATAAACCCTCACATTTATAGTCAACTGATTATCAACAAGGGTGTCAAGACAATTAAAAGGAGGAAGAATAGTCTTAACAAATGGCATTGGGACAACTGGATACACCCACAGGTAAAAGAATGAAGTTAGGCTTCTAGCTCAAATCATATACAAAAATTAACTCAAAATGGATCAAAGAGCTAAATCATAAAACTGTTAGAAGAAAATAAGTGTAAATCTTCGTGACTATAATACCAAAAGCACAAACAACAAGAGAAAAAATAGATAAACTTAATGTTATTAAAATTTAAAAATGTTGTGTTTTAAAGGACATCATTAAGGAAGTGAAATTAAGGAAGCCTGCAGAATGAGAAAATAGTTGCAAAATACACATTTGATAAAGGACTTTATCCAGAATATAAAAAAACTCTTATAATTCAAAAGGACAAATGAGCAAAGAATTTGAAGATATTTCTCCAAAGCATATATGTAAATGGCTAAAAAGCACATGTAAAGATGTTCCACATCACTACTTACTAGAGAAATGCAAATCAAAACAATCACAGAACTTCTTCATACTCACTAGGATGGCTAAAAAAAAAAAAAAAAAAAAATAGTACCAAATGCTGGTGAGGCTATGAGAAACTGAAAAACTCATTTATTGTTAGTGAAATTGTAAAAAGGGACAAACCATTTTGGAAAATGGTTTGGCAGTTCCTCAAAATATTAAACAGTTACCAAATGATCCACAAAGTCCACTCCTAGGTATATAGCCATGAAAAATAAAAACTTATGTGCTCACAAAAACGTGTAAATAGTCATAGTAACATTATTCATTAGAGACAAAAAGTGGATACCCAAATGTTCATTAACAGCTGGATGAACAAAATGTGATATGCCGATACAATGAAATATTCTTTGGCAATAAAAAGGATGAACCTTGAAAACATTACGCCAATCACAAAAGGCCACAAACGGAATGATTCGTATACATGAAATGTCCAGAACAGGCAATCTATTGGTATAGATGGAAAGTGGGTTAGTGGCCGGTGAGTGGGGAGAGAAGCACGGAGAGGGGTTACTAATGGGCACAGGCCTTCTTTTGGGGGATGACAATGCTCGGCAAGCACTAATAATGGTGATGGTTGCCCAACTCTGTGACTATATTTAAAAAAACACTAAGCTGAACACTTTAAAGGGGTAAATTTTATGTATGTGAACTATATTTTAAGCTACTTTTAAAAATGAGTTCAAAAGTGCTCATATAATGTTCATATTTTAATAAATTGAAGTGTAATAAAAATATACATTCCCACAATATTAAAATAATATAAATTCACATTTGATTCTGTTAGTTCTAAGATATCAGAAGTTAAAATTCCCAAATACAATGTTAGGTATATAAATACTTACATGTAGTGCTTTAGCAATCAGTTCTCCACCTTTGGGCCCAATATCATTAAACATAAGGTTTAAGTAAATGAGATTGTGTTGTTTCTATAATAAGGAGAGAAAAGAAACGGTTAAACATGTATTATTAACAATCAATATGTGAGCTGCTTTATTTAAGTAACAGTGTTTATGAAACAGAAAACCTTTATAAACCAGAAAATCTGAAAGTCTAGCAAAAGAAACTACGATTAAGGGGGAAAAAATCATTATTCTTATTTAAACATAAATATAATTGCAACATAGATGAAAGAAAAGGACTATCTTCAGTTTTGACCAATGATTCAAAGTATGAATGTGCTTTGTATATTTAACCATAGTGTACAAGTTTGTAAAAGATGACTCAGCAGCTCTAGTTACCAGCTCTACTGAAACCAAATGCACAAATGGATTTTCAATATATTTTAAGTGTTGTAAATATATCACCGTCAGGACTTGACATTTTGCAGAACTAGTGTTTTGTGGGTGTGCCATTAGACTTAGCGGTTTCGCTAACATAGAACTAAGAATGTCTTGAAGATTTTGTTGCATTTTTATTTGTGATTGCTGAGAATAACATGATTTCTTCATTTTTTTAATCTTCACCTCTGCACTTACATTGTGCACCATTTCATGGGTATGAGAATTTTAAGATCATTTTAACCTCATTAAAAGTGCTTTTAGAAGATGAGGTTGGGATAAGTAGTTACAAAATTAAAAAGCCAATATAAGGAAGAAATTTAAAAAAGATATATACAGCTTTAAACAGTTTATTTTCACTGACAATACAGACAAACGCCTCTTTGCTGGTCTTCTGAGGCTAAAACAAGGCCTTTTCTTTAAGTACAACCTCTCTGATTAGTGGACCACACTGTCCTTCTTACATAAAATGCAACCATAATGCAGAATTTCAGTTTGGGTGTCTCCAAAGTGAATCTGCAATAAAGGGTTAACTTAGCATGCTCAAACCCTGCACATTCCAAAGAAAGGAGTGGTTCTTAACTGACCCCTGCAAGAAAAAAAAGACAAAACATTTTGTAGTAAAATAATACCTGAAGCAGTTTTGCAGCATAGTATAAACCAGCATCACTTATGAGGTTATATCTAACATCCAAACCTGAAGAACACAGAGGAATAGAAGCTGATGTTCCTTATAATGGATTCTTAAAAGCGGGAAAATAAAAGCACGGGCAACCTAACTGGTTTGGCTCAGTGGATAGAGAGTTGGCTTGTGGACAGAAGGGTCCCAGGTTCAATTCTGGTCAAGCACATGTCCTCGGTTGCCGGCTCGATCCCCAGTAGGGGGAGTACAGGAGGCAGCCAATCAATGATTCTCCCTTATCACTGATGTTTCTCTGTTTCCTTATCCCTTTCTCTCTTAAATCAATAAAAATATATTTTAAAAAATAAAGCTCTGTCTTGAAAATTTGTTTAAAAATTTTTGGCCGAACCGGTTTGGCTCAGTGGATAGAGCGTCGGCCTGCAGACTGAAAGGTCCCAGGTTCGATTCCGGTCAAGGGCATGTACCTTGGTTGCGGGCACATCCCCAGTGGGGGGCGTGCAGGAGGCAGCTGATCGATCTCTCTCATCGATGTTTCTAGCTCTCTATCCCTCTCCCTTCTTCTCTGTGAAAAATCAATAAAATATATTTAAAAAAAAATAAAAAAATAAAAATTTTTGTTTTTGTTTAAAAAATTTAAAAAGCAGGGGCAAAGATTCTTAAGGAGGCCATAATTATATTAATACCAGAGGCCCGGTGCACAAAATTTGTGCACGGGGGTGTGGGGGGGTGTCCCTCAGCCCAGCCTGCACCCTCTTCAATCTGGGACCCCTTGGGGGATGTCCAACTGCTGGTTTAGGCCCTGCGGAATCCGGCCTAAACTGGCAGTCAGACATCCCTCTTGCAATCCAGGACCACTGGCTCCTCATCACTCACCTGCCTGCCTGCCTAATGCCCCCAACTGCCCTCCCCTGCTGACCTGATTGCCCCCAACTGCCCTCCCCTGCCGGCCTGATCACCCCTAACCCCCTGTCAGCCTGATCTCACCCTTAACTGCTCTCCCCTGCTGGCCTGATTGCCCCTAACTGCCTCTGCCTTGGCCCCTACCACCATGGCTTTGTCCAGAAGAAAGTCAGATGTCCGGAAGATGGCCGGTCCACCCGGTCTAATTAGCATATTACCCTTTTATTAGTATAGGTATGGACCATACCATTAACATATGGATTCTTCTCTAAAGTTTTAGAAAGAATTAAAAAATCTTCATTTGTTAGTCTTTCCACTGGCATTGAGTGATTGTTACCAGCGAGGTTTAATGTGATTCTTCTTGATCTGTTAAAATACAAATAAAGTCAGTAACAAAATAAAAGGATTTTAGTCTTCATGTGTAAATAGTAACTTCATGGATAGCATTTATCAGAACCAAATGTACAGCAATATAGATTTACATCAAGTCACTTAAAACTACTAAATATTCCACAGATTTTGCTAAGCACATTAACAAATACTATATAACCTAGTTTCTCTCTCTCTCGCACACAAAAGTATCCCCACTTGGTATATAATGACACTGAAGACTCAATAATTTGTATAACAACCAGCAAATAGGAGTTAAGGACAAACCTGGAAACCCAGAGTTGGAGATTGCTGGTCTAGTGCTCTTCCCAGTATACTCCACTACCTCCAACTAACAGTGACAACTACTTCTCTACCTCAAGACCTACTAACAGTGACAATCAACTACTTCTCTACCTCAAGACCTACTCACAGTGACAATCAACTACTCTGAATCAAAAGACATGTCCATTTTACCAAGCACTTGCAAATGGCTTTGAAATCACTCAGTATTCCAGGATTTTCACACAGATGAATATCACAGAATATTATTGATATAATCAAGTATTTTTCTTCCTTACCCCTTTTCGATGTCTTCATCCACTCCTTTGAGTTTTTGCAATATAAAATCATTAACTCTCTGTGACTTTTCCATACATAGATAAATATAAAGTTGCCAGAGGCTGTCAATAGGTTCCGGAGCTTTTGAGAAATAAATGCATTATCATTACCCTTCATCGCATGTTAATTACCCCCGAGTCCCTCCTTCTCCGCAAATTGCACTTCTTCCAAAGATATGAATGTGTATGTACAGAGTCAGGTGGGGAAGAAAAGGAGACAGAATTAACAGAAAAAGAGGAGAGAAACCGAAGTTAGGAACCAGAGAGAATAAAAATGCTGTTTGGAGAACAAGCACCCACTGAGGGTGGGCAGACACTAACTTGGAAGTGATATAAAAGGAGAACTTACCTCCAGATGTAACCGGCCTGGTAGCTGAGGAAATAATGCCAGAGAAATTAAATATTTTGTCCAAACTCATGCAGTTAATAAGGGCAGAGTACAGAACCAAACTGATTCCAAAGTTTCTTTTCCACCCTCCGACACTGGGTTAAGGCAACCCTAGGTTTCTATAATGGCTTCATCTAAAGACAGTTTTAACCGAGAATCTACATTCAAAAGGGATCTGATTTATCACCAAGTCCCTTAAGCTGCTTCGATACCCTCTCCATACTCCATGCGAGTTGATGGCATCTTGGAACACAGCTCTATTGCTTCTTCCTAACACTGAGTTGAGGCCACAATCATAGAAAGAAGCTCTGCACATCCCCTGCCTTGGAGCTCCCACAAAAAGGGGCCGGAGAGGAGCACCCAGTCACCCTCCAGGAGACCGTAAAAGCAAAGCCACGGACCGACAGGAACACCTGCCTTCAGGACAACCTATCGTGCAAAGGGCAGACCGGCCGCAGGACTTGGGGTCCCCTCCCGCCCGCGTTTGGTGGTGCCCCAAAGCTCCCGCCACCGCTGGGGCTCCCGGGGCGGGCTCCCGGGGCGCGCTCCCGCTACGCCGCCCCCCAACCCCCTACCATACCCCCTCACCCCCGTTCCCACCCCCACCGCGGAGCCTGCTCGGCGTAATCGGGGGTGCCACCCCGCAGCCCGGGGCTCCCACGCTCTTTGCGGTTTCGGCGACAAAGGACACCCTATTTCTATTGCTACCGAAGGCCCCAAGTGGGAAATAGCGATCTGAGTGTGGGGGCGTAGCGGGATAGGGGTTCTTGGGACAAGGGGGACTAAGGGGGTTTCCCTGGGCCCAGGGGGCCCTTCCTGGCGAGCCAGGGCTCCATGGCTCCTCCTTTTCGCGGGCGGGCTTGTAGGGGCCAAACGTTGTCCTTGGACGACCCGCCCCCCATTCGCCCCCTGGTCCACGGGGTGCTGGCGGGGGTGCCGGGAATCCGGGAAGCCCCGCCAGGGAAGAAGGCCGCAGAAACCCCGAAGGCCCCCCCCCCCCGGGGAATCCCCCCCCCAATTACTCCACTGGGGCCCAGGGGGGCTGGGT